TATTCTTTTTATAAACCTATCGCTAATCCGTGACTTCCTGTGATTATTTTTGGCGTCCACAATTTAGAATTAACTTTGATCTTAAACCGAATTAGTAAATTTATTAAAGAATTTAAATGAAAGCATTACATATAATAGGTATCAATCTCAGACAAACCTGTTAGGCATCTATTGATATTACAAAACCACATTCACATAATTTCCAAGTCGCAATATTTTTCCAGGATAACAAGATTACAAATAACATGATTAGACGATTTCATTGGATATATTTGACAGATATATGTCATATAACTAGCTTATTAGCTCATTCTTGTATCCAAATGTGTCGCCATAGTGTCACATCAACTCGAATATTGTTCTAATGACTTTTGCAAACATCTTCGGACCACAGTTAGACATATTGTATGTTACAAACGTACATCGCGTCGAAGATTGTTAATATTTACTTTCATATATTATATTATTTTATACTTATATAATAAGGATTTTAAGCCTTATCTGTGAGAAAGACCTAGACTGACACAAAGATGAAAAAATACCGAAATGGCCAGCGTAAATATAATTCAATAGGTTAAACTTTTTCAAAATTCTCTTACCAGTAATCATAAAATATTTTTCTTATCATCAGTTGTAAGTTACATCATTATATTGCAACACTTCTGTCTTGGTGTTTGCGTTACATCCCTGATTTTTTTTTTGATAGGCCTTTTAAAAATGCCAAAAGTGTTATTACTGTTCAAGGACGGAATTTACAATGCTTTATATTATATAATCGCCAATAAAAGAACTATCAATATGAACATACTGCTTGGAAAAAAAGGTGGCATTTCAAAAAGAAGTTTGCGTTTTAAATCTCCATGACTCTTTCGAATTGACAATTGATCTATGTTAAAAACTCATGTTTGCATATATAGCATGCCTACAAAGTTGCCAGGTATCACATGTTCCTAGCTTACGAGACAGATGATTAGATGATAAAAAGAAGATAGACATCAAAATGAGTTTGTATTGCTGTTGTTGTCTTTTTTTGTAGACAATTCATTATGATCAGAAATCCAGAGTTAAGAATTGCACGCTTTGTGTAATTCCTATCGCTCATCAAGTTTTATTTACGAGTTACAGGAACAATAGTATCAATTGTAAATTCGAAACAGAATATTCCATTGTGGACGCAATAAAATCACTAACAAAAAATACTGATACAAAATAATTAATACAGCACCTCAGCAAAGATTTAGCACTTCAATCTAAAGTAACATTTTCATCATCCTTGTTATTATCTTTTGATAAAAGGTCACGTTACTGTGTCTGGATTCAGCTCCTATTCGAAGTGATGATATAACGCTAACTTTAAGTGATAAAGGTTTTGTTTCACTACATAGGCTACACAACTAGCTTATTTCTTTATTATTTGTCGTCACAAAGTCTCAAATATTTAGGAGCCAAATTTAATTCAATTCTCGCAATAAAATGAGTTTTTAATATTCTGTCTTTTGGCCATCGAATAGTCAAGTGAGTCATAGCTGTGCCTCTTATAAAATTTTCTCCAATCAAAATCAGAGTCATTTCCAATATACCCTTAAATATTCCATCAAAGGATTTCAGTTCTGGTGTATTCGTAATAAATCGATATTTCGTGATAACTACTGTTTTGTAAAGTTTCTGGATAAATTATATTGTCTACTAGTATTTAATACTGAAGTATATGTTTAATATAAATATAAATTATACAAAGTATCACTGCTTTAATATTTAATATTAGAGTATTCTCAATAGCTCAATTTCACAACATATTTAAAGTTAAAAGTGTAAAGTGACTGAGTATTTTGTTTGGAATTCAAAATACTAGTTTGTTTACATTTTTTTTTACTTTTATGAGATGAAAATTCACATTATCAATACTTTTTGAGGTAATAAGCATAAATAATCAAACATATTTAAAATAGAAAAAATGAATCCTGAATCAATGAACGTCTAAAACGTCAAGATTGAAAATGTTGCAGTCTCGGTTCGATTTAGCCCGTTTATGAATGGTTCATAAAACCCATTTTGTTTTACTGTCACGAAAATCATGTTTGCCCTTTGATAATAATACAAACTTTTATTGGTTTTGAGGCATAATGTGCCTTTAAAATATAAAGACATTTGTGAACAAAATCAACTGAAATAGTTTTAACGGTATGTGGAAAAAGGTGATTATTTCATGTTATCGCCCATGCATTTTACCAAATGTTTACAGAGCAGAGCTTATTAAATAACTGGGAAATGTTGACTGATTTCTATCAAGTTTGTACCAAAGGAAAATTTATTATCCTCTTTTTTAAGTCTACATAACAGTCAAAATTAGTTCATCCTTAAGCAATTTGCTGCAACCACAAAGTAGTATGAGAACGACTGAGTGTCAACCATTTGCATAGGATTTTTATCTTTAAGTTCTAGTTTGTATAATTAGTAAAAGTTAAAAACTAAAGTTAGTATTTAAAACTGTTATAAAGGGTATTATTGTAAAAGTATCAGACGTGTTTTGTTCTCTAATCAGATTAGATTAGTATAAAAATTTTGGTTTTTATGGTCTTTTGTTATAAAATAATTTATATTACTGATGCCGGTTGTGTTTGAAAAGATGTTAAGAATAGAAAGGACTTATAACAATCCAATATGTCTGTGTAGCTGTAACATTGACAACATTTTGTTTTGAATCTAAAATCAAGACAACTAAAAGAAATTATATTTCCTGGAACATCCTATGTAGTCAAAAGTTTGAATACTTTTCATTTTCAAATCAGTTTAAATTCTCAAAATGAATATTGGGTTCCCTTTGTAAAATAAGTACATCAGCGGTATTGAAGGTATGTATTTTTATATATAGTATTTATATTAATATTTTGCTACTGCAATTGGTGCAAAACATATAACATCAACAAAACATACGTCTTATAATTTAAAACAGGAATTTAAGTCAGTTAAATTCTCATGAATGAATCAAATGAAATGATGAAAATGAAATAAAATCTAAATGTGTGGTTTGATGAATGTACAAAAAGTTATTCTTACTTTACATAATGTTAATATATTTGCAAAATTAAATGAAATATCCAAATGATTTTGGCAATACGATTTGTTGTAACAACATAACTCTAAAAGTTATTTTTGTTTAATTAAATAAAATATTTGCCTTTTCGCACATTCAAATCGTGTTTTAGTGTTACTAAAAATGTTGCTCACTATCTCGGGCATGTAAACCCTAAGGCTACCTAGCACTGTTAAACATTATGATGCCCCATTTCTACTTTGCCTTTTTTAAACTATCAAGAAAATTGGGTCGCGCTTTTTAAGACGTTCTAATCATTTTTGATAATAAGCTGTAACGTTTATTTAGATCAATCTGATACCGGAGAAGTTTCATGTAAATGTATCATAAACTGTACAATCAAAATGTCTGCTTTACTTTATATAAATATCATAAAATGTTAAATTGTTGTCTAAGGGCAAGCAGTTCCATAAGTTAATGTCAACTAGTTAGTATGTATAGTTTTCTCTAAAATATGCATTTACATAAATAAGAGCAGTTTAATAAACAGTTGATTGTTGATCAATATGTTTTGTCAATGATGCCTCAATTTAACAATAGCGGTAAAGAGTCGTCATTCTAGTGTCATATATTGTTTTGTTTCATGCAGTTCTTTACTAAATATTTTTAGAAATAACCTGCAATCTGCTATAGTTTGATTATTCCAGAAGTTGAATTACCTTCATCTTTTAAAATTATATACTTGCATGTTTCTACTTCTGAACAAATACTTACATTTCGTTTTCTCTTTATCAACAAATAAGACTATAAATGAAAGTAGTTTGTACAATATTGTATAGAATAATGATCTACCAATGAAAAATGTTGTAAAAGCAGTCCAAACACTATACTTTTAAATGCATAATGAAGCAAATATAAGACATGAATATGATTCTAAAACGATTTTAACGTAGATAAATCCTTTGCTATGGGTTGTATTTAATACACGTCACATTGCCGTCTTGATCTTTGTATTCATTAACACACCATTATATCATACATTTTACATGTCAACATTTCTTTACACCTTATGAATTAAACCAAAAAATCTTGGGTTGTTTTGCTTTGTTTGTAAAGTTGACACTTGTTTGTGTAATATTGTCAATTTTTTAGATAAACTATTAAAATGACAATATTTTACTGTTATCGATTGATACAGATAAGGCATTAAATATCATATATCAGACTGTTCTGATATATAACAATTTATAGTTTCTTACCTAAGATGTTTTCAATGCGTTTGACAAATACCAGCGCAATGTTTATATCGTTTTCAATATGACAATTAATATTTAGGGAGCTAAATTACAGTTTCACATTTACACATCAAATGTAAAGCGATATCTCTTCGGCATGCTGTTTGTAAAGCTTTTTATCTTATTTCTTTTAAACTAAAAGTAATTCCGAAATACCAGTATGAACGAAATTGATTGTACATTTCCTTTAGAGAGTATAACAAATGCGCAAAATCATTTTTTATCTTTACTAGTACAATATTTATCGATGTTAATAACAGAGACATTCTTTGTTACAACTCTTTCGAAAACCGACTTCATAAAATCTAATCAGTATCAGAAAACAACTTGAACTAAAACACCCAACAGTTTACAGATATCTTCAAAGGTAAAGCATTTACAAAACTCCCTTCAAAACAACAATATTCTCTTCTCTAAAAAATAAACGCTACACCCAAAGTGTGTGATAAAAGCTCGCATGTTTACTAGCTTTTACATGTACAGAGAGTTTATACAAAAATGCGAACAGCAACAGGTTTAAAAAAACTGTTCATTGTATTATGATATTTACACTTTATCTGAAACAATGTATCGCTGTAGGGAATTATTAACACGTTAAAAATATATATCTACAGATAAACTGCATGATTATTCTGGCATGCTAATTTTAGATAAATTATGAGATTGTTTTGTGTATTTTAGGAACCAGAAACCTCATATGTACAACCACAACGATATGACTGCAGCATTTTTAAGATGGCAAGGTTGACCTTGACGTGGATTATCATGATGCTTCAAGGTTTAGGTAAATATGTTACATTGTTAAATAGGTCAGTTATAATATGTTACATTGTTAAATAGGTCAAATATAAGTTATTTGATTTTCTTTTGCGAGAATTTCTATCAAAATCTGTCAAATGCAAATGAATTTGTCTCTTGGGACAAGACAGTTTCTTTTTTTATATTTGATACTTTAATGTTCGGGGGGTTCTTTTGCTTTTTTGTTTTTAGGTGGGGTATATATATTTTTTTTTCAAAGTTATGCCATAAGCATTTACTTTTTATCTTCACAAGCACCTCATATATAAAAGAAGGTCTTAAACATTTCTGCTCTTTGTTATTTTTATCATCTCCTCGCTCAATAATGTGCAATTAAATAAGTGATTCATTTGATAATCAGATATTTTTTCATTATTACATTTTCTGGTCGTAGTATATATGTCATTTGAAACAAATTAATCTAAAAATATTAAAACCTTTGTATTTATTACCTTTTATTCTTGGCTGAATTATCATAATAAAGCAATCAGTTTTGTGAAATAACGACACACATTCCGACATGAACTAATCAAGTTTGATTGATCTTAAATGGGAACTGTATTTAGACGGTAGAAAATGAATGAAAATGATTTAATGCATTAGTACATCATGATCTTATTATTTCCCTAAAAACCATTTTTCTTCTTCTTTGACAGCTAGTAATCTGGGTTTAATCAGATATTCTCTTTTGCATGATGAACATGCACGACTGTTTTTGTTTCAATTATAATGGGACGTAATGTGGAACTACGTTGAGTAGAAATTTTCTTGATAGTAATGCAAGTACTGAATTAATGAAATTGTACCGACGTCAGATATATTGCTAGATTTAAACCAACTTCTTACTTAATTTTAAAAATAGTTCCTCTTTATTTTTTTAATTCATGAAGGTTTCATCTGATGTGTCAATACAATACATCTCCACAAATCTTTAACCTGGCTTTGAAAAAAAATGCAAATATGATTTAACTGCATGTTAACTGTATTTGATTCATCTAAATGTAAACTTAATCACTGTCTCTAAAACAAATAAATTATTTGCTATAACATTTCCTGCACTTCCGGTCATGTCATAGTGTGCATAATTTACTTCCAATAATAATCGCAAGCATAATAATATTTGCATAAATGACAATAAGTTGACAAGTTAATAAGTTATTTGCTGACAGCGATGTTATATGTTTCTAGGATGTGATTATTATTATAAAGACTGTCTGGAGGTTTTCTGGCTGACCTTTTCTTCTTTATTTGGTATAAATCAAGGCGTATTCAGTACATGTCCTTGTGCGTGCCGCAAGAAGTCAAATATCAATTTCTTTTTAATTTTCTGTAAGCGTTTTAAATAGAAAAGAATCTGTTTTCTAATTTGCAAAAAAGAAAATCAGAATTTTAAACGCTATAATTAATTGAAGGATAATTACTATTCTAACGAACTTAATTCTTGACCATTTACTTTCAAAAACAATATGAAAATGTTATATCTTATCCAATTACACCACCATCTTACACAAATTGTGTCTATACACACAGGTACGCGCACACACACAGGCAAACAAATATACGTACACACATAAAAATACACAAATAAGTAGTGCTTTGTAATTTTTTAAAATAACATTATATTTGAAGATTTTTTTAAGACGATGAAAAGTCTTTGCATCAATATCAAGACTTGTAACAAATAATGAAAAAGCAAGAATAACAGCGACAATACTTTATTTTCTACGTTTTATATTCGATTTTTATACTATATTTGTTATTGATAAAAAGAACAAATTTCCGAATATACAAAACTGGATACCGAATATCTCATTGTGGAGCAAAATATATAAAAAGTGGAAACTTAACAAAAAATTAATGTAACAAAAGTAGACAAAAGCCAGGACGCAATGTATATGTTTGCACTTAACATACAATGTCTTTTTATCTATTTTAGGTGAGGGTCTGAAATGTTTCAAATGTGACAACCTGAGAAATTCTGCATGTGGTGTGAACTTTAAATCATACCAGTTTCCGCCAGAAAATTGCCCAGGGTTCGAGTACAAGTGTGGCCTTCAACGACAAAGTCAAAGAGGTTGTCAATAAATTATCTTTGATAAAATGCATGAAGCACATCTTTCTTGTTAATTCTCTCAATGATTTGCAAGAATGAACGACTGTTGACATTGCAACACTTACATTCAATTTAAAGTCAAAATTTGTAAAAAGAAACAATGTGATATATGTTCGATTGGTTAGTTTATTTAGAGAGAAATAAAGTTTGTTTCCCAAAATGTGACTTAGAAACAAAGATATATGCATATGAACATGGACCTACAAATAACAGAGTGACAATCAGTTGATAAAAAGCATAAACGGTTTTTACACTGCAAGTAGGGTTATGAATTCATTTATTTAAAATTTAGCAAAAAATATGATGGCTGATTTATGTCATTCGCCCTTCCCCCACGACCCCGCCAAGCGAAAAGTCGAGAATCAACAAGTTTAAATGGTGTACATGGATCGAAAACACGCTAAATAGCGGTGGCGCGGGGCAAAGTTTAATAGATAAAACTTTGCCCCGCGGAGCGAAATTGAAGAAAATAAAACGGCGAGGGCACGGAGCGAAAACACGCCAAATAGCGCCACCGCTAATTGACATCTTTTTGCTCCGCGCCCACACCATTTTAATTTGATAATTCTCGACTTTTCGCTTGGCGGGGAGCCGGGTGAAAACAGGCTAACTAGCAGGGGCGCCGGGCGAAGTTTTATTTATTAAACTTTGTGTTTTCGCTCCGCACCCCCGCCGTTATCTTTTTCTTAAATCTCGCTCCGCGACCTCGCGGGGCTTCATATAAGAACAAATCAAACAAAACACCATTATTTATTATCTTTATTTACTATAATTATTTTTAATGTATTGAACAGAAATTCAACTAAACATGTGTTTTGTTTTCTTACAGGAGATTATATAGGAATTATAAGAGATTGTTATAAGATAGGATCACTACAAATGGAAGATGAAAGCGACAAATGTCATCAGATATCATCCGAAGATAACAGCACATCGTTCTTATTGTGTTTATGTAGTGAAGACTTTTGTAATATAGCTTGCAAAACATCAACATGTAGTTATATAATGATTGTGATATCATTGGTATTATTACTTGGTCTAGTTCAACATCATCATGTTGTATAATACGAGTTTTGATGTCAAAGGTCATATGTATATCTTGACCTAATTATAAATGGACAATAGCAACGTGCCTAAAATTAACAATTGTTTATGTTTTTCACAATTTCATGATATCCATTGATCACATTTTCTCTCATTGTAATATTATAACATTTATATAATTGTTTGTATAAAATGACGATTTGCTAGTGTCATCTGATGAATTATAGATTATTCTACAGAATCATAACTCATACTTCAGTCTTCAACTGTCTAAAGGTGTATAACTCTACTCGATATATTATTTGAAAAAAACTAGACAGGAGAACGTTGACGTTTTTGACTTTTGACAATGTTACACTTACATTGTTTCACGAAAATACACGTTCCCACTCTAAAAAATTATTTGACGATAATGCATTATTACATAATAGTCTATCAGGAAATTATATCTGCTTTGAGAGAGCCCCAAGGGCTTGGTAAACAATTCATAATGATTTAGAAACTTTATTCAGCTTGAGATATGATGCTTCTTTGTCATCTCTGTAAAATTTCATAACTTTAAACAAGCCCATCGCTGGTAAGTGGATCGGTCTACAAGGCGGCATATTGTTCCATTTTTTCAAGAATTGTTTAAAAAAAAAGCAATAAAAATTGTCTTAAAAAATCTTTCTTTGGACAAAAAAAATTGATAAAGTTCTCAGTGATTAAGTATGAAATGATCCTAATGATGATTTATAAATAAACTTTTTGTTTTGTATAATATTTTTTTCCTGGGAGCATTTTATCTCTGCCCCTATTTAAGAGATGTATCCACCATTGGAAACAACAAGCCAATAATTAGAATTTTTTTCGTTATCTGTCCTGATGTTCCGGTACTAATCAGCAACACATAATGTTTTACAAATATTCATTTATAGAGCAACTCACTTAAATGTTTAAGTTCTCTTTATGTATTGATTAACTCCATGTCATTTTATTGGACGATTTGCTCGTTCAAAAATAAACGTCTAATCTTAAAAATTGGGTTATGTTAACTTTTGGATATCTATGCTGTTTATAGTATATGATAAATCAGACGAGGTGAAAGACTTTATATAAACGTTTTAAATGTAATAACTATTTTTACTTGCTTGGGGAAATT